CAAGCGGCGTACAGCTGCCCTCCGGAGGAGTACCGGCCAGACAGGTGGGGGTCCGGGGGAGGAGACCCTCACGCCGTTTGAGCAGCGGGTGGTGGCAATTATGGGGGGCGCCTCGGTGGGGGGGATTGTCGCCGCTACCCGCGGCGACTCAGATAGCCTGCCGGAGGGTAAGTGGCGTGTTACACAAATGTCCACATGCTTTGCCATAGATGTAAATGCAACAGATACACAGAAGCAGGAATTGAAATGAACCAATATTTTTATTGTGTCACAGAAATCAATGTGTCGGCCAGGACCAGTGGCATTCGGGCCACCCCGGCCCCCGGCCCCAGCACCAGCACCAGCACCAGCATGCCGACAAGTGGTAGAGCGTCCACCATCCGCGGCGCTTCAGCTGGACCACCCAGACGCAGTGGAAGGGTCCTCACGGAGGCGGTCCTGCAATCGCAGGAAGAAATCATCAGGGGGATTGCGGGGATCAACGAGCGGCTGGACCGGCTCGTAAATGTCCTCGAGCGTCTGGTGGAGAAAATAAATTAATTTGTCTCATTGAACTGTGTATTCACTTCTTACCCATTCACATTGTGGCGATGAGATTCTCCCGCGCGAGGACGGCGGCCCAACAGGGATCAGCTCGCATCCCTCCGTCTGCTGCTGGTTCGTCATGTGGGGCGACGTGCTGCTCGGCCACGGGGATGTGGTCCACGCTTGTCACATAGTGAGTCACCAAACACCGCCACACAGCGTCGCCAAAGTGCAGTCAACGCAAGTATCGGCTCAACGCCAACTTCTACACCACCTCCTCACTTTGCGCTGGAACCAACGCTCGTGTCGCGATGATAAATCTGGACGTGTGCGCCGATCTTGGCGAATGCAAGGTTTTCTGGCGACGCCAGCGTTGATACATGAGGCCCCTGGTGAGCCAAATCTCCTCTTCCTCCTCCCGCATCCGGGTTCTAGGTATGCTGCACGAACCCCACCAAACGCATGCCGTGCAGGTGTTAATACAATCAGGAGCAGACGATCGTTTTTCCTGACACTTGTTTTTCTTCGTTTTCAATAGCTGTCCATGCCTCCCGAGCCTTTTTACCCTGTGTGGTGATTTTATGTCGTTTTTTCTTGTTGATATTTTTGTTAAACTTTTGGTGATTTTGTCTCCGCAATATTAGGTCCTGGCCTTTTGTACATGTAACACCATGCTCTGTCATTCGATGGTGGAGTGTTCTCTCACTCACACCAAGAAGGTGGGCAATAAATTAATCTGTCCTTTTATTGATTTATCGATAATTAATTCCATTACTTTTTCTTTTTCTTTTTTGAGTCTTGCTTTTTATTTTTGTATTCATTTTTACTTTTCATTCTTTTATTTATGTATATATCTTATTATTATTGCTTTTATTTCCTTTCACAAGTATTAATGATATTTTTTATTTTTGTTTTTATTTTCACTTTTACTTTTTTTTTTTCATTCTGTCATTTTTGGTCCTCCAGAGTGAGTGAGTATCAGATGTGACTCCTTTACAAGCCAAAAGTATAAGCAGTGGCGGCTGGTGAGAAAAATAATAGGTTGGGCTGAAGGTTTGCAAAAAAGAGCCCTGTAGGGGGGTCCGGGGGTATCCTCCCCAGGAGATTTTTTTTTTTTCGTTTTCAAAAGGTAAATGAATCATTCTGGTGCTTTCTAAAAAAATAATTAAGGAAACATATGATGTTGACCTACAAAGACAAATGGGGTGGGGATACTGTATTTCAACTTATTAATTGGGCATTATAGCTGACACACAGCCTACCTACATTTAATGTAATCCTATGATATAGAAACTGACAGCAGCATACTCTTACTCGTGTACATCCACCTGCATCTCAACAGGTTAGGCTACAGCAAAGGAGCACACAAAGACAACAGCAGAAAAACAATAAAGAGCAGACCCATATTTATAACAAATCAGGCTGCATATCAAAGTGATCAGCCATGGAAAACAACACAAACATTTACTTTAAATACAGCACCCATTCTTGAGAGTCGGGACAAAACATGTCCTACATAGAAAAGCCTAATTTATTCTAAAAAATTAAGAAATTCTAAATGTTTGACATACTCACAAAGTTAAATCTAAAGGATTTGTGTATGCCAATTCTATGTTTCAGCACAGATATTTACTTTTTGGGGGGATATTTGTTTAAATGAATCCTCTGTGGTTAGAAGGTCCATGTTATTGCTTGTGTCCTCAGCAAGAGGTCACAACATTGAACAGCCCCAAAAAACTATAAAAAACTCTACAATTGTGAAAACATATACATCAAATAAAAATTCAGGGCTATAAATATATAAAACAATGCATGGCCTGAACATCAAATAACTTTTTGCCTAAAAATCTGCCTATCAAAGTTGTGTCCTCAGTTTCTGTCAACTCCGTCAGATTATTCTATAAACCTCATTAAATCATGCAATATCATGGTCAGCTATATCCCTGAGGACCCCTTTTCATTTCCTGCTTCTGGTGAATGCAACACCACCACACATGGTCTGGTAAGTTTTACAGTTTTTGATATTTTAGACAAACAATGTCAATATTTGTATGGTCACAGCTGAACCATGTCAACACCGTCTCTCCATTATTATACTTTTTTTTAAACCATAGTAAGTTTAATTAAAGTATTTTAGTAAGATTATCAGGACAGCTAGCAACTGCCAAAAAACTAGCTAGCTGCACTGTACAATAAAAGTTTTGGAGGGAAAATATATGCCCTTACGTCAACTCCGTCAGACGTCAACTCCGTCAGATTTTGTGTCTGACGGAGTTGACATGTAAGCTGATGGAGTTGACAAATCCACCTATAACCTCTTAATGTGCTGACATTATGCTATTTTTGAACATGGTTAAGGATAACAATGTTATTCCAGGGTCTTATCTGCACATTAAAGTACATATATAGCATATATTACGTTATTTTACCATATACTTCTGTTTTGTAGAGTAGACCATGGGCAGGCTGTCTGCTTAATTATAACTTTCAAACTTTCCCCACACACACACACACACACACACACACACACACACACACACACACACACACACACACACCTTATCTCATTGATTGATTGATTGATTGATTGATTGATTGATTAATGTACGATCCTAAAGGTGCAGTATGTAGTTTTCACTACCGAAAATCTACACAGCGGCTTCTTATTGAGTGCACAAGAAGTTCTATGTTGCTCTTTTAAACCCCAATGTAGGTGGGATACCAGACAGAAGAAAAAGGTTATTATTTTTACATTGTTAACTTGGACCATCAGACCAGAAGTGCATGGTGCACCTCTGGTCTGATGGTTGTGTAAACACATGGTTGTGTAAACTACACACTGCACCTTTAAGATTTTATATCAATCAATCAATCAGTCATGTTAAGTAAATGGATATCTGATTCTATAGTCTTATTCAAATACATTTTTCTGTATTTTGTAATAGGAAAACATGGCTAGACATAAACTGTCAGTTGAGGAGCAAAGGAGAAGAAATAGAGAGTACCAACGAAAGAGAAGAGAAAAATTAAATAGTGACCCAGAGAGAAAAGAAGCCATGCAAGAGACTGAAAGACAAAGATGGAAAAAGAGAGTTCAAGACAAAAAAGTAGTACAAATAGACATGATGGGAGACAGGGAGAAGAGGTATCGGAGAAAGTATTGGAGAGAGGCACAGAAAAGGTCCAGAGAGAAAAAGTCCCATGAAGGTGCAGTGCTGGAGGCAGACACCCCCCCAGACAGTCCGCAAGATCAGGATAATCTAGAATACGATGCCAGACACAACAGACAGTCTCTCAGACAGCAAACAGAAAGAGCAAAAACGCGAAAAAGGCATGCAAGAGAAATAAAAACTTTGAAACAGAAGCTTAAGAATGTAACAATGCAACGAAACAAACTGCTAAAAAGAATTTATCGCAGAAAAAGGGCTACAAATAAAACACCACTGGACTCTCCAGGCACAGAAACAAAGAAGATGCTCTCAGGAAGCAAAATAAGAAATCCACAAATCAAAAAAGCCCTTCTATTCCACAACATCATCAGAAGAGAGCTAAAGAAATGCAAACAAGCTCCTGGGCCACGGCGCCAGAAACCTGCACTGAGTGTGTCATCAGGCAACATTCTTAAAAAGTATCGTCTCCTTCAGCATATCCACCAGTTTGGGTTAACATACAAGTTAATGAGAGAAAAGAAACAGCCAAAGAAAAAGTCAACATTCCTACAGGGTATAACACAGACTGTTCAGGGTTTCTTCCTGAATTCTGCACGTGTGACAACTGACAAGACTGACACAATCACCAGGAACAAGATCAAGCAGCAGAGAATGATCCTGACCGACTCCATGATCAACCTCCACACTGATTTCCTCATTAGGAACCCCACTGTAAAGCTGAGCTATTCTTCATTTTGTGCTCTGAAGCCCTTCTATGTCACAGCACCAAAAGTATCTGATCGGAAGACATGTCTCTGTCAAACACATGAAAATGCATGCTTAATGCTCGAGGTCCTTAGAACGTCTGGTATTGTGAAGTCAAACAAACTTGATGACAGTTTTCACTTAGTTTGTTGCTCTCCAGCAACTGAGGCCTGCCTTCTTCGCACCTGCTCACGATGTCTAAAGAAAGGTACAGTTACAACCCAAGAGCAAGACAAAATCCACGTTCAGTGGAAGCAGTGGGAGAGAGTCCAAGAAGACACAGGCAATGGAATTCACATCAACACTAAGCTCATCCAACATAGTGGGGTCCTTTCAGAGCTCATCAAAGTCTATGAGCAAAAACTCAGAAATGAAACCACAAAGCATGTGTGTTCAGTACGAAACCAGTCAAAAGCATACAGAAGCACGATTGAATCCTGTGATGAAAGTACAGCAATCATCCACATTGACTTTTCAGAATCCTGGAGATGCAAATATCAATCTGAAGTTCAAGCATGCCATTTTGGACAAAATCTGCCACAGATAACACTCCATACCGGAATGTATTACACGAAGGTTGGAAAGGCAGCGTTTTGCACACTGTCAGAGTCCAAGAGACAGGATGCAGCAGCAATCTGGACACACCTGGATCCTGTCCTAAAAGATATCAAGACGAAATATCCACAGGTTACCACCATGCACTTTTGGTCTGATGGCCCAAGTAAACAGTACAAGAACAAGAAGAACTTTTTTCTTCTGTCTAGTGTCCCACCTACACTGGGATTTGAAAGAACAACATGGAACTTCTTCCCCACTTCCCATGGCAAGGGCGCACCTGACGGAATCGGTGGAACAGTAAAAAGAACAGCTGACAACCTGGTCCTGAGAGGAAATGATGTCACAGATGGACACACATTCTTTGAAAAGGTCTCAGACAGTCTGAGGGGCATTCAGTTGTACCACATTGCTGAAGAAGACATGCAAAGATACGATACACTTCTCATGGAGCCGCTCAAACCGGTTCCCTCAACAAGACAAATTCACCAGGTAATCGCACATGAGAACAGGATCCACCACAGACAACTATCTTGCTTTTGCAGTCAGATTTTGCATTGCCAGTGCTTCTGCCCAACTACCTTCTATTTTCATGACTACCCAGAGGAACAGCAGAGTGATACACGGGGGGCTAGGAAGAAAAGACCTCTGGCTATGTTGTGGGAGGAGATGGAGAATGAGATGGAAGGGGAGATGGAAGACGATATGGAAATGGAAGATACAATGAAGGAGTTGGATGAGGAGCCTTTGAAAGGTCCTGAGGGTACTGTGCAAGTACCGACTGTTAGCAGTCTTAATAATGGAGACTGGTTAGCAGTAGTATATGATGACCACTGGTGGCTAGCCAAGACCATTGCTGTGGATACTGAGCATCAAGACGTGAAAGTGGAATTTCTGCATCCCCATGGTCCAACAGCAAGGGTTCAGCCCAAGTGTGGCAGGAAGGATGTCTGTTTCTGCCCAATTCAAGACATCATAGTAAAGCTAATCGGAAATGCCTCACCAGTCCAGTCAAGAACACGAGAGATCTACAGTATAGCTCCTGATGTGATAGACTTCATAGAGCGTGAGCATGTCCGACGCCTGATGCTCAAGGCGTAAGTCTAGGTAAAACAGAAATTAAATCTTAAGTAAGCTAATTGAACCTGTTTCTAAGCTACAGGTTTCAAGGAATGTCAATTAGAGATCACACCCAGTATGAAGTAGCCCATCCAGGGCAATGCCTCTCTCTCTCTCTCTCAAAAATGTGTGTGTGTGTGGTGGTGGTGGTGGTGGTGGTGGTGGGGGGGTGGGGGGGGGGTTAACGGTATGTTCAGCATGAAAAGACGGAGTGTGTTACATTTGTACATTTGTTCAATTGCAATGTTATCAACTCCGTCAGATGTTCGTCAACACCGTCAGATGTTCGTCAACACCGTCAGGTGTATGTTTTTCTGAATTTTTGGAGAAAAAACAAACTGTTTCTTTAGGTTATGTTGTTTAAATAATAAAGAAGCATTGGCTCTGCATCCTCTTGTCTCTTATTTACTTACGGAAATTATTTTTACGATATAAAAATTAAAAACAAAGTTTGAAAATACAACTATTTAGAAATCTTGGTTTTCAAAATAGTGTAAAATCACACATCAGGTGTATATATTATATTTCATGGCATATCAGAGTAACTAAACACTATTACAACATACATCAGAACTTTAGATTCTTGTTGGACTAGAATTATTAAAATTATATTCTTTTTAGTGTGTCTGATGGAGTTGACACAAATCCACTGTCTAAGGGAAACATGTGAATTTATAGAAAAATTGTTTTTATTTAGAGCCTGTTCCTTTACAGGGTTAAATAGTTAAGACCTTTCTCTACAGTAATAAATGACTCTAATCAATATATTGTGCATTCTCAAAAAAAGATTTTTAGGAAGTGTTTTGTCCCGACTCTCAAGAATCCCTGACAGAGCAATTTTATTACATTTGATATTTTAGTTGAACTGAATTGAAACTGGGTGAACAAATACCCGGTTCCCACTCTATTATAGAAATCATTTTCCAGGACTTTTCCAGGATGTTTTCATCCTGCCTTAAAAATTTTTGATCTCTAACATTGTGGCATGAACATTGTCTGGTAGCTTTCTTTTTAGTCTGGCTTTTATGTAGTGTCTCACTATAATACATGTATGGTTCATATTAGGTTTTAATCTTTATATACTCTACTTTTCTACAAACAGATTTTGCTGATTGACCGTTTCAGTAGCCAAAATTATATTTTGCGAGCTTTATAATTTCTTTTTGTCACCATTAATTTACACGGGAAACAGACAAAACACAAACAAAAGACAAACACAAGAGCCTTCCTCTTCGGACTTACAGTTAGCCATGCTTTGCACCTATACCCTGCCCTTGAAAATGTCCACGTACTGTATATTGTCTGCTCTTCTCGGTGGTCACTTGCTGAGCAGCGACATCTGGTCGATCCGGACTGAGCTTTTCCAGCTTTAGTTAGTCCTGCAAAGTTCTCCTCCCAAACAGGACCTACTTGATGGACAGCGCAGCGTTCTCTGGTAAATCACTCGGAAGGGGGTGTGCGGTAGTCATTCCCACATCCTCTGTCATTAGCAGCCAAGTGCAGAGTGAGAGGCGGAACGGCTCCGAGTAGAGCGGCAAGCTACGTCAGACGCACATTGTAGCTCTGCGTCCGTTGGCCAATCTGGTTATGAACATGCTTACGTCATTCAAATTAGGGACGCTGGGGCGCTCATCCCTGGTTCCCCTTAAGGATTTTTTTTTATGTGGCTAGGATAAGCTAACTTTTTAATGCAGAACTGTTATCTGAGCATGCACGAGAGGGCAGAAAGCTTGGGCGTTGGCCTGTAGTGCCCCTAACGCTAATGCTGGTTGGAGAGATCGCTAACGGACTGAAATACACATTTAATGGAATGATTAATATAGTAGCGCCATTTCCTTACTTTGAGAATAATTTTCAGGGAGACAGCAGACATCTCTTTTTGCTCATGCAGCTCAGGCGGGGCTCCACCCGCAGCGCCCTTATATACCGGCCGCCACAGAGTAAAAGTTGGATCAGAAATCAGGGATCCTGAAGGTTTCCTCTCAAGGAGCTGCAGCAGGAGACCAGCGACCCCTCCTATCTCTCTTCACACACACCCTAGAGAGCCTCCCAGTTTGAAAAACATAAAACCAGTAAAGTTGGGGTGCTCACTCTATTAGAATTCTCTCAGCTCTTATTGTCTCTTAGCTTTTTTATGACTGTGGGTCATATATATTGTAGCAAATATATATTTGCTTGTTTTTTGTAGAGAAGTGCTCCTGTTTTCTCTCCCCCTATGTTCCCTCGCTGCAGGTGTGACGCGACCAAATTAGACAAAGGCCAAGCACGCAACAGTGACTGACTGGAGGAGTAGAGTCAGGTGGCAGGCCACTATTGGCTGAGAGGAGATGGTGGCTGTTTTAACCCTCGGTTCTTCTATATCCGTTTTGCAGACATTTGTCTCTTTTTTTTATCTTAATTTTGAGTTGACAGTCACATTTTAAAGATTGGAATCATCAAATTTGGTGAGAGTTCTTGTTTTTCTTCATATTAAAAAAAAGAAAAGAAAGAAAGAATGAAAAACGTGTCCTCTATCGAACTCTGTCGCTGCATTTTTGCTCCATCCACTCGACTTCGTCCACAAAACAGACAATAGACAATGAATACCTTCGTGTGTGGCACAGAGGGGGTTAAAATTACACGCTGGAACAATCTGCTGTATCACTGTCGGAAAGTCAAATCTAGAGCTCTGGTGATCAAGTGGCTGCAAAAAATGGTTGCAATATGTTGTTATGGTGCAATAAATTTTTATATGCGCGTAATCTGAATAATCGCGGTCATATTTGGTTAGAGGTGGATACGCACTCTGAAGTTATTCCTATCTTACATTTATCGTCTGATTTTATATGCCTATATAATAAAAATAATTTAATATGAACAAATGAATTCGCTTACTTTTGTTTGGTAAAGGATGAGGCTCAAGAAATGAAGGAGAAATTGGCGTGTTTTTCCATTTCAATTGGCTCACCTGTTTAGAACAAACACTTTATCAATAAATGCAATCCTTATGACGTGGTGCACAATAACTGGCATAAAACATCACATTTTTTATTCATTATTTTTTAATGGTCAGGGCTGAAGTTGTTTAAGAGATATGAGTTGGAAAAAGTTTTAAAAAAGTTAAAAAATGTTAAACAATTATTTTATGAACAATAATTTTTGTGTCACTTGACGCATGCGCAGTCACTAGTAGCAGCACCCAGCAGCAGCACCCAGCAGCAGCTCTGTCTTTTTCGCTCGTTTGTTGTATTTTTGTTGTATTTCGTTTGGTTATTGTGCTTCCGTCCATCTACACTGGGCATGGATAGCGACCATGGACTTTTCAACACAAGAAATCAGCTGCTTTTGCCCAGGAATAAGTTCAGTTTTGGATCTATTCACCACCTACCTGTGGAGTTAACGTGACCCTACCCTGCAAAGCCAGCGCTAAGCTAAAGGCTAAATGGCTGACAAACCGCAGGCAGTACAAGCCATATGTCCCTTCTGGAACGTGAACTCCCTGGCGAACAAGACTGACGAGTTGGCAGCGCTGGTGAAGAACATTAGGACCTATGGGGAGCGCAGCTTGCTCTGTCTCACTGAAATGTGGCTAACCATGAGCACCCCGGATGCCAACGTAGACCTACCCGGCTTCACAACGGTCAGAGTGGACAGAGACACAAAGGCAACTGGCAAGCACATAGAGGACTAGCCGTCTGTGTCAACAAAAGATGGTGCAACCCCAGACATATTACAGTTAAGTTCTGCAGCAGGGACATTGAGCTCCTCGCCATGAGTCTGCTTCCTTATTATATGCCCCAGGAGTTTTTGCACGCCATTGTTGTGATTGTTTACATCCCCCCACGTGCACTCACAGAGACGGCGTGTTACGTCATCCACTTGGCTGTAGGGAGACTACAGACGCAGCACCCGGAAGCCTTTGTTGGGATCTCTGAGGATTTCAACCATGTCACCCTTGACAAAACACTGCCTGATTATATCCAGTTTGTGGACTGCTCTACCAGGGGAAACAGGACCACTGACTTCATGTACAGTCAAGCCCAAAATTATTCATACCCCTGGCAAATTTTGACTTAAAGTTACTTTTATTCAACCAGCAAGTTTTTTATTAACTGGAAATGACACAGGCATCTCCCAGAAGATAATAAGATGATGTACAAGAGGCATCATTGTGAAAAGAAATATTTCAAAGCTTTTATTTACATTTTAACGAAAAGTGTCATGTCCAAAATTATTCATACCCTTCTCAATGATCAATAGAAAAGCCTTTATTGGCTATGACAGCTATCAAACGCTTTCTATAATTGCTGACCAGCTTTTTGCAAGTCTCCACTGGTATTTTCGCCCATTCATCTTTAGTGATGAGCTCCAACTCTTTCAGGTTGGAGGGCCTCCTTGCCATCACCCTGATCTTGAGCTCCCTCCACAGGTTCCCTATTGGATTCAAGTCAGGACTCTGGCTGGGCCACTGCAAAACGTCAATGTTTTTGTCTGCTAACCATTTCTTTACTACATTTGAAGTATGTTCTGGGTCGTTGTCATGCTGAAATGTCCACTGGTGCCCAAGGCCAAGTTTCTCTGCAGACTGCTTGATGTTGTTGTTGAGAATCTTGATGTATTGTTCTTTTTTCATGGTGCCATTTACTGTGATTAGGTTCCCTGGTCCATTGGCTGGAAAACACCCCCAAAGCATTAGGTTCCCACCACCATGTTTGACAGTGGGGATTGTGTTCTTAGGGTTGAAGGCTTCTCCTTTTTTACGCTAAATGAAGGCTACATCATTGTGGCCAAACAAGTCAATTTTTGTTTCATCTGACCAGAAAACAGAAGACCAGAAGTCTTCTTCTTTGTCCAGATGAGCTTTTGCAAAGGCCAAGCGGGCTTTTGTGTGCCTTATCTGGAGAAGTGGCATCCTCCTTGGTCTGCGTCCATGAAACCCAGCAGTATGCAGTGTCCGTTGGACTGTCCGCCTTGAGATGTTGCCACCAGCAGAGCCCAGATTCACCAGGATGGCCTTGGCGGTGATCCTTGGATTCTTTTTCACCTCTCTCACTATCCGACCAGGCTTCCGACCACATCCTCTGAGATTTTCCACAGTGAAGAATGTCTTGTATTTTTAATAACACTTTGCACTGTTGCCACTGGAACTTGAAAACATTTAGATATGTCCTTATAGCCCTTTCCTGACTTGTGAGCAGCCACTATGCGCAGCCGCAGGTCCTAAGTGAGCTCCCTTGTCTAAGTCATGACTGTCCAAAACCCAGCTGCAGAGAGCTGTTTTTCACCTGTTTAGCTGATTAAAACAGCTGGTACCAATGAATCAGGGTAATTAGGATGCTTTAGAACAGCTTGGACTATTTGGAATGGTATTGAACTTTGGATTCTCCCATAGACTGTGACAGTTTGCAAAGGGTATGAATAATTTTGGACATGCCACTTTTCGTTAAAATGTAAATAAAAGCTTTGAAATATTTTTTTCCACAATGATGCCTCTTATACATCATCTTATTATCTTTTGGGAGATGCCTGTGTCATTTCCAATAAAAGACTTGCTGGTTGAATAAAAGTAACTTTAAGTCAAAATTTGCAAGGGGTATGAATAATTCTGGGCTTGACTGTATGTGTGGCCAGTCTGGGCCCACTTCCAAGAAGACCCTTGCTACGCTATGCATTGTGTTGTGTCACGATTAGTAAAGAGAGGGACAGGATCAAATCAACAGTATGAAAAGTCACTGTTTTCCCATTTACAACATTAGGATCCATCTCTTTTTGTTTCAAATTACTAGATTCAAGTGTGAACTGAAAACACAGATTCAAAATAAGCAATGGGAAGTCATCCAAAATAGGCTGTGAAAATAGGCTATATATATATATATTTTTTTTTTTTTTACTTTCCCTTACAATAAAGCAATATACATATACCAAGCCCATCAATAACCTTGCAAACGTGACAAGGTCATTTCAGTGTAACTTTTCAAAGGGAACCTTACTTAGTTGTTATTGCTGTTCTGACGATCGACAACCTCCGGTGACCAAGCTGGCGTTGATCCACGATGTCAATCTGGGTCATGGCACCATTGTGGCTGGTCTGGGCCCACAGTAGAGGTCACTGTGCGAGCTTGAAAGTTATTTCAGGAAGTAGAAGTTTTGACAGAGGTTATGAATAACAAGAACAGAGAGGTGAAGAACGGTATCCTGACCGAGGTCATGAACCACAAGACCAGAGAAGTGAGGACAAGTGCCACAATTGTGGAGCTTTTGTTCACTAGGCAAAGGACTGTAGAATTTTTTTTTTTGTCAGATCAGCAAACAGATTTAGAGGTAGCAATAGCGAGTCATGGGCTTTGACATGTCTCAACAGGAGGGATGAGTGTAGTAGTTACTCAACACTTTACCACCTATTAATCCATAAATTATTCAAAACATTTTTGTTTGATTTGTTCAGTTTGTGCTAGACATGATGCTCAAGGCAATGTAAGACCAAAAAGAGGCCAATTTCCACCAACCAATGCACCTTTTGAAGCCATACACATGGACTTTATAGAATTAAATCAGAGTAGGGAAAGGAATGCTGTTTAGTTATTATAGACCCGTTTACTAAATGGATAGAATTATTTCCTGTCCCCCATCCAGATGCATTTACAGTAACGAAAATCCTGTGCAGAGAAATAATTCCTCGATTCAGCATTCCAAAACGAATCTACAGTGACAATGGAACTCATTTTGTAAAAGAAATAATTAAAAAAAACGTAGGACTTAGATTAAATGTAGATTTAAAACATCATTGTGCCTATCATCCACAGAGTGCAGGCCTTGTAGAAAGACATAATGGTAAAGATAAAAAATGGATTAAAGAAAGCTATGGAAGAGAGGGGAAAGAAACAAACAAACAAACAAAAAAACTGGATTTATTGTTTGGACTTATTATAAATCTATATAGCTCCCAATTCCAACAAAAACTTAACTCCTTTTGAATCTTACATGGCAGAAAATTTGTAATACCCCAATTTGGACTATTATCACCAGAATCTAAGAGGGAATTAGACATAGTGGGCTCTATTTTTGTGTCCGCCGGTGAAGAGGCGGAGGGTAGCGGATTGCACGCAGTGGTATTTTCTTCTGGCGGAGCCCGGTGTACAGCCAGTTTGGTATTTTCGTGAACTGAGGCGCACCGAGGTCCGCCAAGCTGGGCGTGGTGGCATGGCAGAGGGAGTGACATTTTCATGCTCGCCGGTGGCGTATAAAGTGCGCTGAAAGCTCGCCGATTCAAACCTGGTCAGCTTTCAGTGCAGGTGGAGCGCAGCTGGTCTAGTGGTATTTCGGTAGACCTGCGGTGTATTGGCATACCTCACCAGCAGGTTTCCACAGTGTCAGGCACATTTCAGTGCAATAGATAATCATCGACAACTAATAATCTGAGTCAGCACATACATTTAGATCAATATAGATATATTTTGATCTATATCTTCTCTGATGAGCTATCTGGCACGCGTTTGGACACACAACCTGTCCGAATCAACACAGCTGAAACCGCATTAAATTAAATTAAATATCTAGTAAATAAACACACATGATGAAGTTAACTAGATATGAAATTCGTCTCCCTCCTTTTCTTTCTTCCTCTTCCTTTTGTTTCTCACGCAGCTTGACCTGGACATGTCTCTGTGTCCTCTCCCGTCCTGCTGCTGTGGCGGCTGAATAGATGATTTGTTACAGTGATCAGATTTACTTTAAGCCTACATATGAATATTATAATATTCAGTTTTGTGAGCCAAATTTATTTTATATGCCAACATAGAAAAAGAGCCAGGCCACAAGAGACAGCCAGGCCACGGAGCGCATTGTGTCATTTACACACAGATGGTTCCGATTTTAATGCCATTATGGAATTTATGATGTGATCTCTGTGCACAACCCACCTTTGTCATGTGAGGTTTGAATATGTGCAACTTTATGTGATTGTTGTGGAAAAGGTGTTTGTCTTACTAGTGGGTCCAACATTTCACACACCAAATCCATCTGTGCTCATATGAGAGAGTGCAGAGGACGCCCAATGCAGCACTTACAGTGACACTTGTTGAGGAGCTGCCCTCTGTTGCCATCGTGTGGCATTACTATCTTCAGACATCTCTTGATCTCTTCGACTACTTCACGAAAATAGTAATACGCCTCGCCGGTGGCGGATTTAAAGGCGAGGAGAGGAGCTGATGTTATTGGTCAATACAGGTCTCGGCTGTGTTAAATCCACTCCACGTCCTCTCTCCTCCCTCCCTACGACTTACGCCATTGGAAGGAGCTGAGTTAGGGAGGGGGGATACTTACCCTGGGCTGCGCTGCTCACCAAAATACCAAATTGTGCTTGGGAACGCCTTGTCGGCGCAGCAGACTTGACTTTTGCTGTGCCTGTGGCATGTCTCCGGCGAGGCACGAAAATAGAGCCCAGTGGATTACATGATCAAAATGTTGAAGACAAAAGAAATGATGAATGCCTATAGAATGCCAGATGATCCTCTCCCCCTACAGAGGAAACACCAGGAGCTGGTGAAAGTAGGAGATTGGGTCCTGATTAAAAAAAAAAAAAAAAAAAGGTACTGCTAACGACACCCACAGCAGTAAAAATAGCACAAAGAAGTAGCTGGATACATCTTTCCCATTGCAAAAAACCTGTATGGGTTTTAGTTAGGAAAGCCTGACTTCAAAGGGGGGTGTCCTTATAGTGGGCGTTCGTCTCAATGTCAGTGAAGATTAGATGCTCTTGAATTCCTTAGGAGCATAGGAAAAGGGGAAAGTTAGGTATTTTACTTCTGCTAAACCTGATACCGTTAATCTGCCGACTGAAAACATTGTTTACAACTTCAGATCAACTTAAAGAAGGAAAGAGAAGTGACAACAATGGACCAAATGTGGAGATAGAATGGCAAATGAAACTGACCGGCTACACAAACTCGTTTGAAGTGAAAATGTGGTACAGATATGCAAAATATCTAGCAAAGACCGAGAATCAGTCTTACTTCTATGTCTGTACTAGGATGTCCCTAGCCACAACAAACCTGTACGTGGTTCCATAGCTGTACCCGAATGACAGCAGACTATTTCCTGAAGCATTGCAATCAGCTTTATGGCCAAGGGTTCTGAAACAGATTGTCGTTGGCGAAACAGGTCAGGCTACACCTACTCCACCTGAGTTTTCAAAGTTCTCTTTCCATAACCTGTTGAAAACTGGCTCTACAGGTAACAGGAAGATCTATGGACCACTCCATGTTCCTCTGGGTACTAAGTTCATGTGTTATGAGAACTACATCCACTTGGTGGAGGATAAAGACACCTACATGGGAAAGGTGGACAGATCTCATTGTAGAGTGACATATATTCCCTGTACCGCTGACTCAAAAGGTGTTCTCAATTCCACTCGAGCACCACGTGGTACACAGTGTCGACCATTTTACACTGTTCCTGACATGGGTACACTTCCACAATCAGACTGTGTGTGGATGTGTGGTGCTAATGCTTTTCTTCCTTTCTACTCCTAGGATGGACTGGCAAGTGTGCTGTTATAACCCCTTCTGATCATTCCTTCATAGTGACTACTAGTGTTAAGGACGGTGCTGAGAGCAGAAAAAAGAGAGATCTCTTTCCTCGACATGACTCGATTTGGGGAACGGCTGTACCCCTCGATCATAAGCTGTGGTCTGACGGTCAGAAGGTGATCCTGTCACTCTTTCCCTGGGCAGGATTGGGTAAGACAATGTTACAAACTGAGACACTTGATTACAGGTTTGGTACCTTTGCAAACATCACCATCAGAGCGCTGGAGGACGTGAAAGAGGAGCTCACCGCCTTGAGAATGATGGAGCTGCAGGACTGCACTGTGTTGGATCAACTCACTGCTGCATCAGGAGGAGTGTGTGCCTTGGTGGGTACATTTTGCTGTACTTTCATTCCAGAAAATGATGCAGACGGAGGAATCATTCAGCAGGCGATTGTTAACCTGACCGCACTGAGAATGGCTGTGGATGGTGATCATGTGAATAAAGTGGACTGGCTAAGCTGGATGACGTCTGGTCCTTGGTATCATATCCTTTTGAAATTCCTGACACCAGTTGCTACTGTGTTACTATTATTCTGTGTATTCATTTCTTGCATCTTACAATGCCTCAGATTGATGATCACTCATGCTGTCTCTAACTCAGTTAGAGACGCGCTCTTGCAGGAACACAGAGAAGTATATCTCAAGCTGTTGGAGCAGGCAGAAAACATGGACACTGCAGTCTAGCTGAGCTCATCAGTATACACAGCAATTGTTTTGCAGTATGTCAATAAATGTGGCATGCTTACAGAAAATGAAAAGAAGTTGTGAGTTACTGTAATAGTGATAAACAGGAGGGAAATGAAATGCTACCACATGTGTATTTTATCATTATATAAGTATGTTAATCGTCATTTACTGAAACTCACTTGGTGTGAATGCTTGCAGAGTCATATCTGTTTCTTTTTAATGAGCATGGGAAAGGAGAAGTATGACCTTGGAGTTGGGACTGATACTTTTCTGCTGAAGCCATGCAAAGAGATGAATGCTATGATTTCACTCACAGGTTGTTTTCCCAGCAGTGTGACATTGAACTGATAAGCAGGAACCTGATGATGAACTAAGCTGTCTTTGTTTTCCCAGTACAGACCACAGCTGCAACCTGTACCCTATTTGGATACTGTTGTAATGTCATGCCACTTGTGAGATGATGTTAGTGGGTGGGGGTGTCTGTTTCATGACTGCATAAAGGATGTGTAAAAATCTGAATTCCTCAGTCAGAGGAAGCTGCCTTTGTTGTAAGCTGCTGACTCCTTGCAAGTAAAAGATATCTAAGAAAAAGAAGTCAACTGACTCTGTTGTTCTTCTCAGCTGGCTGCAAGTCAGATGCAGTTTAATTTTTCAGACACATAAGTATAAAAGGAGGATAATGAAGGTCGCTTGCTAGGTATTCTGACATTAGCAAATGTTATTTCAGGTTGTTGCATTTTGATCTATACCCAGAAATGAAACAAAACTATAACATTTGTTACAGTCGTTCAGCTCTAAAACACAATATAAACATGCCATAGCAACATGAATGCAGAAGAAATATTAAATCAAAGTAGTTAAACCGTTTTGTGTAGTAATTTCTGCACAAACTAATTAGGTTAGTAAGTAATAAATCAATTTTAAGATTGCATGTGTTATGGTCCTGGCCCAGGGGAACCAGGGCCCCGCTCTTCCCACTCCCAAGGAAACCAGCCAACTTAGGGGTTAAATATCACAGAGTGGCCATTTTATTAACTTCAGAGGTGAGCAGTGCCAAAACAACAAACAAAACAGGTTATCCGCTGTCTTTTGTTTTATATTCATTTTATTACAGGGAAGTTCAGGGCCTTGGTTTAGCTAACTCCTAACCAAAAACAGGGGAAAACGGGACAGAAAAACAAATGGCTTCTCCCTCCTACTACTGCCACTAAATCTAAATGCACAAAATATTTACAATTATTTATAAGTATTTACAAATGGCTAATAACCAATTAACTGATTATTAGTCACACACAATTCATAAAATGCGAGATTGCCACAATCACTGTCACTGAACTAGGGAAAATACATCACACAGCATGCTGGCAAGTTGGAAATGGCAAGAGCAAGGGGTGAAGGTTGGCATCAGGTCGTGGTTAAAACTCCTTAGCCAGTGAATCAGCCTGCAGCAACCCAGTCACGTGAACATTTTGGCAGCACACACACACCTGCAGCTCATCTCTCACACACACAGAGACACTGATTGCCACTGCAGAGGAGGGGAGGAGAGAGAGAGCTGTTCGTACAGAAATCAAACAACCAAAATACATAAATGGCCACAGTCATAACACATGGAATAGATGATACAATGCATAAACCCTGTTTTTTTTCCACTTGTTTATTTAGTAAGTAACCCACCCCAGCTCTACCATGCATTACTTTAAGAACCCCAAGTCAGACAGCCACAGCCTAGAAATGTGTTTTTCTTACCACCCTCAGAGGAAGACAAAACACCTGACTGTACAAAAAGCATTTACATGCATAGATGGCACAGTCAGAAAACGGCTAACATTCTGTGAAGAGAACCATATTCTAGCATTTCCTAAACCAAATGAAACCAATCACTTCACAAGTGGAATGCAGGACTGGAAACCTAGAACAGCTTTATAGATAAAGACATACCAATGGCCGAGGCGACTTGTGCTTAGGGAATTCCAGTTGACCTTTGAGTATAAGTCACAGTGGTGAGTAAGAAGTCTACAGTTGGTGATAAATCTCAGAGCTTCATGGTAAACACTGTCCAACATCTGTAGACTCTGGGCAGAAGCATTCATGTACAGTAAATCACCATAATCCAGAACAGGTAAAAATGTTGACTCAACAAATATCTTTTAAACCATAAAGGAGAAACTTGTTTCTGTAGTAAAAAAAAGTAAAACCTTAAGCTTTTCAGTAATGTACTAAATATGCTCTTTAAAAGACAAGTTTCCATCAAACAAAAACCCCAGATATTTAAAGGTGGAAACCAGTTCAATTTCTTGACCATCCTCGGTAACAATTTTCCCAGGCAAGGTTATTTTAGCCACTCTAGATGATGTAAAGAACATAAGTTTAGTTTCGTTGGCATTTACAACAAGCTGCAGCTGGCTAAGCTGATCCTGAACCAAATCAAATGCATACTGAAGATTTGTGAAGGACTTGTGCAGCTGAAGGTGCACAGCAGTAGATTACCTTATCATCAGCATAGAAATGAAATGATGAATTGGGAACATTTTGTCCAATTGAATTTATATATAATGTAAACAACAGGGGGCTTAATATAGACCCTTGAGGCACCCCCTTTCAGTTTTTAGTATCTCAGAGGTAACACCATCTAATTGAACAGCCTGAGTTCTGTCAGTAAGATAGTTGGAAAACCAACCAACAGCTTGTTCCGAGAACCCAGTGGCTCTGAGACAGTCCAGTAAAACACTGTGATCTACAGTGTCAAAGGCCTTAGAGAAGTCAATGAAAAGAGACCAACAACACTTTTTTTTGTCCAAGGCTTCAAAACATCATTCACTACTTTCAAGGCAGCCAGTTGTACTGTGTTTTTTCCTGAAACCTGACTCGAAATTAGACAATAAGGCACTGTAAGTCAGGTATTCTTTCACTTGATCACTGATCAAAGATTCAAGCACTTTGGACAACACTGACAGTTTTGAAATAGAATTTTAATTATTAAAGATATTTGGATCGCCTCCTTTAAGCATTGGTGTTACAAAGGCTGATTTCCAATCAGCTGGGATTTTATTTACGCACAGAGTAAGATTAAAAATATGACAAATCTAAAATCTGCAGCAAGCTTTAAAAAGAAGGACCAGCTAGTTAATGAGGGTAAAGATTTTTTAGAGCGATCGATACATAGAAAACAATAAAATACTAAAAGTAAAAAGCTTGAGTGTTTTGGCTGGTCGATTCACTATTTAGAAATGCAGAATTAGATTTTTCTGACTGAAACAGAAAGCCAGAGGATATAAAATGCTAATTAAAAGAGTTCAATATTTCTGTTTTGTCAGTTACACAATGACCATCAATTACAAAACTAGAGGGAATGTTAATAGACGTGCAACAGTTTGATAATGACTTTATAGTTTTCCAAAATTTCCATGGGTTTTTTAGTTTTTCCATTGTTTTATGCAGATAGAAGTCAGCTTTTGATTTATGAATTAAAGAAGTACATCTGTTCCTGAGCTATCTGAAAAGCAGCCAGCCAGAGTCTTTTCCTGTTTTGTGTGCTCTGGCCCAAACAAGATTACACTCATGCATCAATTCAGACATCTCACTGAAAAACCAAGGATTATTTCGTCCCTTTCCTCTACAATTATGAAAAGGGGCATGTCTATTTATAATCTTCATGAATTAATCATGGAAGTAATTCCAGGAAAGTTGTACATCATCAATGAGTGTGATTCTACTTCAATAAAAACGACATATGTCATGCTAGAAAGCCTGCTCAACATACTTTTTCAAGTCACGTTTTTGAATAACACGAGACTTGCTTTTTGGTATTCTTGTGTCACGCACAACAGCTTCAACACAGTGATCACTGATATCATTGGGAAAGACACCATAGGAAACATATTTACAAGGCATGTTTGTTAGAACTAAATCTCTACATCCAATCCAAACCATCTGTAAACATCCAATGCTAATTTAGGGGTGTTCTGGGAAGCACTTATACAGAGATCCAGCAGGAAAGTTGATTTACCCAGTACAAGTGGACACCCACCACAATCTAGTGCATTGTTAGACAATGCTGGCAACTCAGTGGCGGGCTGAGGGTTGCCAGGTTCAGGAGGAGATACCGCAGTGAAATGTAAACAAATGATGTACAGTACCGTGGACAGAGGCATGATGGACAATATCCAGTGATAATCCATCACTGAAGATGGCCTCGTTAGACTCAGTGAGGCTATATCCAATATGCACCGAACAGGATATCCATAAAAAATTATCCACTTGGATTTCGAGGAAGTAGAAGCTCGTTGCTTACCATTAGCAGACGCTAGTCCTCAGAAGGAGCATCATGTATGCATCCTTTTGGAAAGTAACAAATGTTCACTGGGACCTCTACCTAGTGAGTTGCGGACAGGAAAGCAGACTCACCAGAGCAGGATCAGCAATTTACAGGGTTTGTGTCATACACCCACAAAATCAGTCTCGGCAGGACAACCGGTGTTGTGAGGAATGAAGAGCCCAGAGACCAGAACAGATCCCAGCAGGTCCAATTCTCAGGGTAGGAAGCTCACGGAGTGACAGCTTAGCTCTAGTCAGGATGAACACTGTAGCCTCGCGCACAGGTAAGACACAATGCCCTATTGAGCCACAATAATTTGATCAAGCAAACGAAGATAATCATAGATTGTCACTCTATGCCTTGAAAGAAAGGCGGTGGGCAAAACGTCAAGCATCACTTGGTCAAAAACAGAAGCATAACTATGAAAACTTGATCAGGAATGGACCAGACTTCTCCACACTCACATATGTGCTGCCATCTTGGATGACCTCAGTTGTGCTGAGGCATATATTTTGAGGGCATCTAAATCAGACATAGCCAGCCTGCTTCATGGTCCCCGAACTGCAGCTCACAGAGATCAAGTAAGGAAGAGACGGCGGGTGTTAGAACATATTACAGATGTGGTCAAATTCATAGGGAAGAGAGGACTGAGCTACAGAGGAAAGCAATCTGGGGCAGCGTACTCTCTCGATGATAAATCATGGAAATTTTTTAGAGCTCATCATTCTTCTTGGAAAATGTGATGTTTGCCTGAAGGAACGTCTAACCGCATGCAAAACACAATGCAATTTTGTTTATTTCTCAGTGAGTATTCAAATTAACTGTATAATCACAGCCTCTTTATATTGTGATTGTTCATAACTCATACCTTTTATTTTTGTGTATTATAGGCAGTCACCTCACCTGTATTGTTTTGTTCACTGAGAGACATTTAAAGTGTGTTGTTTATTTCTCAGTGAGTATTCTATGCTCTTGATACAACTTTTTGTCAACATCAGTGATAATGCTTTACATTGGAAGGCTGAAAATTTATCCTTAAAACTTTGTCTTTACAAAAGGATTGTGGCAACTCACTTCACTCTACACAGATAATATTTGGTACAGTGATGGCAAAACTCGCTGTCACTCTTCATCTCAAGACACACACAGTGGCTAGGGCAGACACCAACTGCCACAGACATCCCCAACATTTGAGCTTCAAGCCCCCTTTCTCCTGCTGTAGTTATGTATCTACCTTCACCATGGCAACCAATTAGAGCACCTGGAGACACACAGCTGGCTGGAAAGCTGCTTTTAACGACCTTATGAGACACATGAAGCCAGGCCCCGTACACAGAGCGCTGGGGGTTACATTTAAAACCCTTCACTAGACAAACTTTATCATCTATCTCTTCCTACAAACTTTGAGCTACAGAAACCATCCAGGATTAAATTAATTCAATTCATTGAAGACATTATGGGATGCATTCAGAATTTTTTTTTTTTTAATTTTTTTCCCACACTAGATTCAATTTTAATATTCATGCATTATTTAATTTTTCAAACAAATTAAAAATTATTCAAACTGATTTAAACCTTTCTCATACTTCTAATACTTTAAGATTTTTAATCATTTTAATTTCCCTGTGTTAAATCATTTAACGATTTATACATCATTTTATTCTTCAAAAAAAATTCCAACTCATTCAAGCTGATTCAAACATTTCAAGTACTTCAAACCTTTCTTATACTTCAGGATTTTTAATCATTTTCCACACACTGATTTTTTTTTAAATTTATGCACTATTCAATGAATTCGTCCAAATCATTCAAATAAATTCAAAGCTTGCTCAAAATTCAAACATTCTTATCTTTCATAAGCTGCGTTTCCATTACATTTTTTCGCAAAATAAAAGCGATGTTTATCAAATTTCGACAAAAGTACAATTGCGATTTGCGGATGTTTCCATTGAATGGTGTTCAGTGCATAAGCAAGCCGTCTGCCTCTCGCGAGCCGTGTTTGAATGACCGTTGCCTAGCAACGAGGTAAAGTTCCTGCCCATGCGACCTCGTATTCTATAAGCCTTTTTGCACACCAACATGGACGAAACACAAAACATTTTGCGTTTTGGAGCAGCTATTTCTGTGACCATTACTGCTGTTGCCGCTGCTGTCATCAGAAGACGAAGGCAGTGGGTAATAATTCAAAGGCAAAGCCCGTATGTATGGGAGCGGACACGGATGAGGGATTTCTGGGAGAGGATCGTTAATGAGGAATTCACAGACTAATCGTGGATTCAAAACTTCAGAAAAATACAAATACAATTCAAAACTTCAGATATAACTCCGTCTCCTCCCCCGTCCACACATACCGCGCCGTCTTTGCTTGAAATGAACTGGTCACATGACCCGCTATGTCACGTCCGGTGACAGAGAATTGCGAGAATAGTGTTTCCATTACACTTTTGCGATATACTTCTATATCGACACGTCTGAAAAACCACCTCATGAGAGCGTAAAAACTTTTAAGCGATATTAGAGAGGTTTTTCAAAATTTTGGCGTTTCCATTACCAGTTTTCTATTACGATATTTAGGTTTTGCGCAAAACTATGGGTAATGGAAACGCAGCTATAGTCTTTCAAAATTCAGCCATTTGCAATAGCAGCTTAGCGATAGCAATTTCAAACAGAGCAATCCCACTCGCAATTTCTTCAGAAATTGCATTTTCTAGTTATTATTATTAAGTGGTAATACTGATTAAGCATTTCCACTTATTGTTATTCCTGTCGGCCATTTTCTTTCTTTCTTATTATTAAGTGGAAATGCTGATTAAGCATTTCCACTTATTGTTATTCTCCTGTTTCTTTATTCTTATTATTCTTCCGCCGATTTTTGCCGCTTTTCAACTCCTTCAAACTTTGTGCTATTTCAACCATTCAAACTTTGAATTGTTCCACTCCTTCAGGACATGTGTGCTTGTATTTTTTACTTTTCTACCCTTTGTACTTTTTTTTTTTTTTTTTACTTTTTTGTGCCAAAATTTTAACATTGAAGTCAATGGGGAAATCTTCCAATTCTTCCTTTTATTCTTCCACCTTCTAAGCCTTATAACTTCAGCATACTTTCACCTGGATACCTTAGTTTTTTTGTGCTATCTTCTACAGTTTTCCCACAATTTAGCTTTAAGCAACTCGTGGTTTTCAGCAAATTTCAGGCTTTATAATGGGTGTGTATTAGACTACTAGGCTAGAGTGATGATTTAAAAGCTAGAGTGCAGACCTCCTCTCTGATCGACAGAACCTTGCTTGAATAAATCACTCCCACGCCCACAAATTTCACTCCACAGCCATAAAAAAAACATCAAAATGGAGGTATATGTGTCCTGCTTCTCACAAAAGAGGTTTCAAATCATTAAATCATACCCCTTGGCCAGCAGGTGACCAACTGTCCAAAAAAGGCAAAGAACCCTGGCATTGGCCCTAATGTATTTTTTCTCCAAGAAAATCCGGATCATCGCTCAGGCTCAGACTTTTTTAACTTGCTGATGTGGCCACATTTTTTGGAGTACAGACATGAAAATGATGATGAAAACGATGTTCTTATTTACATTCTGGGATTTAAGGAAATCACGCTATGTGAGGAAGTTCAGAGGCCCTAAATTCACTGCAGTTTGCAATTTCAGACAGTTTTTCTAGCCTTATTCAGCATGAATGCAATTTTAATTTATGAAGCACATTCATACTCTTTGTACTTCAGCAATTTTCACTTTCATCCAACTTCTACTTCTTCTTCTTCACCCCTTTAACTGATTTTACCTTAAAACCTTCTATTTTTATTAGCAGTTTTGCATCGCTTTAGCACTCAGCATTTCCACGCATTTTCTGCAAGGAAATGCAATTTTTCTAGTTGTTATTCTCCTGTTTCTTTAATCTTATTATTATTCTTCTGCCGATTTTTGCCGCTTTTCAACTCCTTCAAACTTTGTGCTATTTCAACCATTCAAACTTTAAACTGTTCCACTCCTTCAGGACATGTGTGCTTACATTTTTTACTTTTCAACCCTTTATACTTTTGTACTTTTTGTGCCAAAATTTTAACATTGAAGTCAATGGGGAAATCATCCAATTCTTCCTTTTATTCTTCCACCTTCTAAGCCTTATAACTTCAGCATACTTTCACCTAGATACCTCATTTTTGCTTCAAAATGTTTATTGTCTTATCAACTATTGATGTTGTATTAACTTTTTTGTGCTATCTTCTACAGTTTTCCCACAATTTAGCTTTAAGCAACTCATTGTTTTCAGCAAATTTCAGGCTTTATAATGGGTGTGTATTGGAGAGGCTTAAGTGATGATTTAAAAGCTAGAGTGTAGACCTCCTCTCTGATCGACAGAACCTCGCTCGAATATATCGCTCCCACGCCCATAAATTTCACTCCACAGCCATAAAAAAAACATCAAAATGGAGGTATATGTGTCCTGCTTCTCACAAAAGAGGTTTCAAATCATTAAATCATACCCCTTGGCCAGCAGGTGACCAACTGTCCAAATAGACGGAAATCTCTCCCATTAACCCTAATGTATTTTTTCTCCAAGAAAATCCTTATCGGCACTCAGGCTCAGACTTTTTTAACTTGCTGATGTGGCCACATTTTTTGGAGTACAGACATGAAAAACACATCATTTTGTTCATGAAGGGCGGAGGATTCGTACGATGTTCTTATTTTCATTCTGGGATTTAAGGAAATCATGCTATGTGAAGAAGTTCAGAGGCCCTAAATTCACTGCAGTTCAGCTGCTTCTCATTCAAACAGTAGGCCAGTTAATGCCTTTGATCTCACAGCTGTTTAGGATAAAATCATTAACGAGACACACACACACAGTCTGACAATGTGTGTGCATGTGTGCCTCTGTCTAAAAGACCTGCATGTACACACAGTTAATATGTGTCTGCTTCACCACCTATCTCCACCCACAAACTTTGAGCTACAGCAGTGGTTCTCAAACTTTTTTTGTCATTCCCTCCTTTGGAGGAAGAAAAAATTTCATTCCCCCCCTACCCCAACAAAATTGTGACAATAGGCCATGTATAACTTTATTGACATAACATTCCTTTTGCTGTCTTTCTCAAAACTAGAAAACAAACGTGCATTCATATTGCAAGAACAATTATAATCAAACAATATCAAGTTGAGTAAGTACAAAAAAAAGCAAACAAAAAATATAAATAAACAAATGCATATCAAAATCTTGTGCAATCACTGTGCTTTTTCTATATGTGCAAACAAAGAACAAATGCAAAAATTATACATTTTCCATTTAAAGCACTTTTTCAAAACTAGAAAAAAAGTGCATTCAAAAAGTGCAAGAACAATAATGAACTTCTGAAGGCATATGTAAGAAATAGAACTGAACAACTGGCAAGCAAGGCTTTGTTGTCTTAGTAACATTTAGAGACGATCCTCTTGTAAATCCCTGCACTCACTCACTGCATTAATGGCTGCAATGAGCCTGTTTTGTGCTGCACCTCTTTTCAAATCGAGGTTGCAGGCTTGATACGGCCACTCTCAATTCATGTTCAATGTTGAGCCTGGATCTGTATTTTGTTTTTAGTGAGGCAACAGCAGAAAAGCCTATCTCACAGAGATAGGATGTGGCGAAGGGAAGCAGAATGCCCACAGCCCTCTGCCCAATGAGTGGATGCTCCCTCTCCACACCAAGCCAGAATTCACTCAGTGTCTGTGCTGTAAACTTCATCCTCAGGGTGGAGTCTGAGGTCATCTCAATGTACTGGTCCTCTTCAGCAGAGCTGAGACCAGCTGGTGCTGCTGCGTTAAATGGATCTCTCAGCCAGTCATACTGCACACTGTTGTCTGGGAAGTATTTTTGAAAGAATCTTCTCAGAGAAGAAATGTGCTCCTTGAGATATGGAATCACTGTGGTGGCGCAAGAATCACTCAGATTCTCAAAGAAATCAGTGTTTCCTTGATCAAGTCGCCTGCCCCACATCTCCAGTTTTCGAGTGAATGCGCTGATCTTGTCTGCCAGGTGAGGAAGATGCTTGTCTCTGCCTTGAAGCTGAAGATTTAATTCATTCAGCTTTCCAAATATGTCGCTGAGATAGGCCAGTTTCATCAGAAATTGTTCATCACTGAACTTGCTGGCAACGTCATGCATGCCATTTTCCTCCAAAAACACCCGAATTTCCTCTCTGAGTTCAAAGACTCGTGACAACACTTTGCCTCGGGAGAGCCACCTGGCCTCGCTGTGAAACAGCAGATCTGAGTGTGTGGCTCCCATCTCATCACAAAGTGCGGAGAACAGCCGCGCTTTCAGGGGTCTTGTTTTGATGAAGTTGACCACTCTAATAGCATCAGTCAGGACCTCGTTTAATTCAGGGCTCATCTGCCTTGATGCAAGCGCTTCTCTGTGTATGAGACAGTGCGTCCATTGCACATTTGGCGAGACCTGCTTGATTAGTGCCTGCAATCCCTGCTTTTTCCCAGCCATGGTCTGTGCACCATCCGTGCAAACGCCAATACAGTTCTCCCATTTCAGCTCATGCTCTGTCAGGTAACTGTCAAGAAGCTTAAAGAGCTCATCAGCTGTTGCTCTGGTTCTTATGTATTTGCAAAACAGCAAATCCTCATGCAGTGACTCAGACATGACAAAGCGCACATAAGCAATTAATAAGCAGTCTTTATTGCTGTCAGTTGCCTCATCTACTTGTAAGGCGAAGCGTTTGTCTTTCAGATTCTCACAGAGTTGTTCTTCAAGATCATCTGAAATGTCACTGATTCGTCTTGCAACTGTGTCATTGGACAGCGGGACAGCCTTCAATTTTTCAGCACTTTTCTCATCGAGTATAGTTGACACCATATCTAAAGCTGCAGGTAGTATCAGCTCCTCTGCAATTGTGTGTGGTTTCTTACACTGCGCAACTCTGTACGCCACTTTGTATGATGCCAGTAATGGGTTGTTGTTTACAGATGCAGTTTTTACAAATTGATGTTCCTGCTGACGGTATATGCTTAGTTTCCTCCTAAAGAATTCGACTGGTTTATTGATGTTACCGGGGTGTAATGTCTCAATGTGCCTTTTTAATTTGTTGGGTCATATACTGTCCGCTGCCAGAGTTTTCAGACATAAAAGACACAGAGGTCTCTCTTCATCTCCGACCAAATTCACTGTGAATCCAAGAGCAAGATAGGCTTCATCATATTTCCTGGACTTTGCTTTGGGTTGGTTTGTCCTACCGTCATCTAGGCATGTTGTATTTGTGGCTTCAGCTTTCCTTTTCATCCCTGTCAAAAATCTCTCCATTCTGTACTTTTGATTTATTATTCTGATCTGAACGCAGTTGTTGGTTGTTATGGTAACAGGCGAAAGCGCGGGTTGTCCGCCACTAAAAGAATTCCGACGTCCAAACATTGGTTCCGCGGCACGGACTCTGCACAACGCGGAACGGAGCAGCTTCAGCTCCTCTCGGAGCTCTCCACAGCGAGAGGAGCTGAAGCTGCTCCTGACTTAGCACGGTGTCGGTGGTTATCTCCGCCCTGGTTTCTGAGCTATTTCCCACCATGAATTAGCACAGCAGAAAGCTGTAGTGATTTGAAATGAGCCTCATACGGTCGCACCAAAATATATGTAGCGATTTGAAATGAGCCTCACAAGGCCGCACCAAAATAATACTTGGCGATTGGAATTTATAATAAATGTCTGAAGATTAATAATCTCAAATTATGACATTTATGCACTCGTTGAAAGGGGCACCACCCACCCTTAATGGTGGGAAAATAAAGAAAACAAAAGTTTAAGTCAGAAATCAAACATCAAGTCAGTTTTAATTAATCAGTCTTAATTAATCAGTCTTAATTAATCAGTCTCATATCTTAAGTCGAAATTCTAATTTCAGGGACTCCACTTCTGGAAGAACACTAACAGACAGGAACTTAGAAAAATAATGATCTGTTTATTACAGGATAAATGATGGTACAACACACATGCAATAAATGATGATAAGATAATGAAGATAAATAATAATAGGTGAATAAATAAAGATTCTGAGTCAGGCTAGGAGCACTAAAGTTAATGATAGTGAGTGAATATGTGCTAACATATTAACCTACACTAACTTTGGTGTCGAGATTAACTCGGATGTGGATTTGGAGGAATCTAAGATCACCAGAAATAGGTGGATATCTGAGTTATGAACGCATGAGACAGCATCAGCCCTGTCTGGAGCTCTGGAGGCTTGCATACTTAAGTGAGACTGGTCCTTGGAGAAGATGGAGCAGGTTCCGAAGGTCCGGGGCTACTGGCGGTTCGAGCGGTTCAGCTCAGAAGACGACTGAAGTCAGCCGAAGGATGAGCCAGGAGTTGCAGCACTCGGGCCCGAAGCAAAGCCAGCGCCTGTGGATCCTGTGGATGCTCGTTTGGGTACTTCTTTGGTCTCACTCAAAAACTCTGGCACAGAGGATGACCTGGGCCTGCTGGGTTGCGTTCAGAGGTGACTTTGAAATCACGCAGAAAACTCAGAAAAACGAGGCTCGAAGAGCAGAGAAAACTTTCAAAAATGGCTTCGCGAAATTAAAGAAAAATCAATCAAAGGCTTAATCTTGAATTTCTATGCGCACAAAAAGTTGAAGTTTCAAAACTTGAACTAAGACGATGTTAAAGAAAAATCAACGTGAATCAACACGTGGCGTAAAACTTAGAAGACTAAGAAAAAGTTCTAAGAGAAAACAAAGAAACGCACCACAGAAGGGTGTGGACAGAAGAGAAGGGGCATAAGAGCCGGGGACAAGAGAGTCAGCAGAAGAGCAGAAGCATAAGAGGAATAAAAGCATAAGAGCAACCCCACTCCACTGGTTTTATCTTCTCACACTGGGAGTGTCTGAGGAGAAAGAGGAGGGGGTCATCGGGTCTCTGATTATTTGATCTAACTTATTCTTTTGGCTGGTAAAAGAGTCAGATCTGATACTCACTCACTATGATTAATATCATTGAATGCTTGGTTTCATGATAAATAATTTGATACTAAACACATATGAATGAAGTGTAGGATCACATCAAACATTCTCATTATGTTTTAAGTATCACATTGAACATGCTAAATTACTCTGAAATGAAACAGATAGTAACACATAGAAACTGTGAACAACAAAAGAGTAAACACATGTGAATGAACGTCATCATGATTAATAATGGATTCTAAATACTCACATTCAGATTATTCAGTGACATTATAACCACCTAATGGTTAAAAATACTAAATAAACAACTAACATATAAACCAAACATTTCTAAACTGTCTCTGTTACCTAGAGTTAAGTTATGATCCATAGTCAATAAATTTAACTCTTAAAAGTTCATGAAACAGTCTGAAAAGCTGTTGGTCTAAAGAAACTAAAGAATAAAGGATTTATTCTGTAACTCGGCCTCTGGAGCACATAGAAAAACGGGAAACATCTCACTTTAACACAAATTTCATGATTAGACAGATTAGTACATTGCTGAATGCATAAGATGTCAGGATCAGTCATTTGTATTCTTTCACCAAAGGAATGTAGTCTTTATCAGTGCATGGTCGAGCAGGGTTTTACGACCGAGGTCTGGAGGTCAGTGTCCCCCCTTATCCTGGGGTCCGTATGTTCACACACTTTAAGACGCTAAATCTCAAATGGGTGATCTGGGTTGAGGTTAATGTTTATTTAGATGGTCAGCAAATGGAGTCAGTTTGAAAGGTAATAAAAACTCTGTCTCTGTTCTCCGAATTGACCAATCGTGAAGAGTCAGAAGTTTAGTCAACCTCTGGTTGGGTCACTTATTTAACCTGAAAGTGTAAACGAGTCTGGAAAGATTTATATCCTGTTTCCTGGGACCAGATAAGGAAACTTTCCTCTGAGGAATGTGTGGGTTTCACACCCAGGGTTGTCTTGATTGCTACAAAGCGTCTTTGTACGCTTTCAAGGAGGACATTGTACAGGTGGGGATAGCGGCATACTTAACAGGTGTTACGCCGTAGAGTGCACCCCCTGCATCCCCTCCACTTGTTAGCGTCTTAAAGTGGAAGAACATGATCTCATGTTTTATAAAATACGAGTATTTGATCGTGACAACTTTCGTTCTGTTTTTATGTGCCTCAGAAATGCACATACGGAGGTGTGCTTGGGTATATAAACTGTACAGTAAGCTGTCAAGCTAGCGAACATTATATTTTCGGGACAGCAAATATTCTGAATCAGAGGGCTATTTTTTCGGCTTATCTGAATTGCCTGAATGAAATTATTATAGGCACACACTTATGAATTCACCCAATGGTAAGGAAAACTTTGATTATTTTCGCCTTGTTAAGAACTTTCAACCGCGCTCCCGTCGGGGGGGCGTTTTACGGCAGGGGTGCATTCTACGGCAGAACACCCGGCAAGTATCTCGCCTTGAGCGTCACTCACAACAAACGCTGCTTCTTCGCGGTAAAATAAAGAAACAGAGTTTAGGGCACTGGACTCCCCCTACTGGTGTGGCGAGTACAGTATGGCGCATGCGTGACGAGCGCGGTGCCTGCACAGAAGGTGCCGCGCTATCGCGGGTGCACACCAACCTATTTGTAGCTGGGTGACTCCCGCCCCCCCCCCCCACGGATGGCTCCGCGCCCCCCTAGGGGGGCGGGCCACACACTTTGAGAAACGCTGAGCTACAGAAACCATTCTGGGCTTCAAAAATTCAGCTCATTGAGGACATTATGGGGTGTATTTAGGATTTTGTTAATTAATTGTATCAATATGTTCAGCAGAGTCGTGGGGTTCTCACAAGCTCCTTATCATGAATATATACAGAGGCTGACCATCAGGGCCTAGCTGGAGACCCATTTCCTCAGCTTCAAGGCTCCTTTCTCCTGCTGCAGTGTTACATCTTCCTTTGCCATGGCAACCAATTAGTGCACCTGGAGACACAAGGCTGACTGGAAAGCTGCTTCTAACGGCCATATGAGACACATGAAACCAGGCTTAGTACACAGAGCACTGAGTGTTACATTAAAAACCCTTCACTAAAGCGCTTGCCATCTTCGGCCCCTATCTTCTTCCACAAACTTTGAGCTACAGAAACCATTCAGGGCTCCAAAAATTCAGCTCATTGAGGACATTATGGGGTGTATTTAAGATTTTAATAAATTGTATCAATGTGTTCAGTAGAGTCTTGCAGTTCTCACAACCTCCTCATCATGAATATAGCTGTTACAGAGGATGAGCATAGTCTGGGACTTTGTTTCTCAGCTTCAAGGCTCCTTTCTCCTGCATCTACGGTCCCCATAGCAACCAATTCGTGCACCTGGAGACACACAGCTGACTGGAAAGCTGGGTTTTTTTGGGTTTTGCCAGCTACTACAGGCGCTTTGTGGAGGGCTTGCATAAATTAGTGGCTGAGCTTACAAAAGAGGGTCCAGAAGGGGCTCTGAGCAGGCTCTGGATGCTTCTTGGACACCACAGTGTGAGGCCAGTGTTGAGGCCTTGAAGTCAAGGTTGGTGTCAGCCCCTCTGCTGACTTATACTGACTTTTTCCGTCCCTTTATTTTGGAGGTTGTCACGAGTTATAGTGGTATTGGGGCAGTGCTTTCACAGGAAATGGACAGAGGCATTCAGCCTGTAGCTTATGCTTATGGCCTCAGGCCAACTGAGCACAACATGGACAATTACAGCTGAAGATTTGATGAAGTTGGATTTTTTGGCGCTGAAGTGGGCTATGACTGAGAAATTTCGTGAATATCTGCTGGGGCATACACTAAGGGCCAAAAGTTTGGAAGCAAGATCAGATTTGTACAAAAAAAATCATAGTTTCATATATATAATTTTCAACACATTAAACATGACTATTGTGTA